CAGGAATGCATCTGTTTTTTTTCCTTCCTCCCCCAATTTGTTTTCCCCCCTAACACTCTAGCAAATACTTCTGAATCCCACTGCTTACTTTCCTCCATTGTGAGAATTGTCCATTTACTCTCACCCTCTGCTGTAATCCTCTTATCCCAAGACTGTTCACTCAGGAGCCTTTGGAAAAGACTTTGTCAAAAGCTTCTTTGAAGTCAGTGTATAGGAGGTCTACTGAATCAATCCTGGATGCATTCTTTAACTCTTGTTGATATTCCACAACATATTGAGCAAATGTGTTTAGCCCATGCCAGCCACCATACTAGTCTCCAGGCGGGAATGAATCTTTCCCTCTTACTTCAATTCATTTTTAAAAGAAGCCCCTCTCCTCAAGAGAACTCTCAGTATAGTGTTTACACAATACTGTTGTAAGTTTTGGGGGGTTTTTTGTTTTGCTTTTTTTAAATAGAGGGTTGTTTAATGTATTGAGAGATGAGTAAGAGATCTGTTGACCACCTGGACCACTGTTGAAGAAGAGATTGGATTTACACCCCACCCTTCACTACCCGAAGATGTCTCAGAGCGGCTTACAAACTCCTTTCCCTTCCCCTCCCCACAACAGACACCCTGTGAGGTAAAATAGTAAGAAGAGGAGATTGGATTTATACCCCGCCCTTCACTACCCAGAGGAGTCTCAGAGTGGCTTACAAACTCCTTTCCCTTCCCCTCCCCACAACAGACACCCTGTGAGGTAGGTGGGGCTGAGAGAGCTCTTGACAGAAACTGCTCTTTTTCAAGAACAGCTCTTATCAGAGCTATGGCTTGCTCAAGGCCATCCAGCCAGGTGCAAGTGGAGGAGTGGGGAATCAAACCTGGTTCTCCCAGATTAGAGTCCGCACACTTAACCACTACACCAAACTGTTAATTTAACCCTATCACTGACTTGAATACCCAAAGGTAAACAGATAATGTGCCAACCCATGATTTACTGTCATCAAGAAAAAAGTATCCAAGGCGCTTCTCTCTCAGCATTCACACTTAGTTCACATCCAAGGGGCTTCTCTTTCACACACAGTTCACATACTGTTACAGCCCCACCCCTATTTGGAATTCTTGCTGTGACCCATCTAATGTGTGTGTGGGAAAGAAAGAGTCCACCTACCTGGTTGGCAAAAATGAGGTAGCACTTTGTGTTGTCCTTGGGGTCTTTTGTGATATGTCGGATCAGCTGCAGCATTGGAGTGATTCCTATCAAAATGAAAGTCAAAAGCTGCAGTTCAATATGCCTTCCCAGAGCCCTGATTCTACCTTATGCTAACCTCTCTCTGTTGGGATTTTTGATTAAGTCATTCCAGTTTCTAGTTTGGCTTGTAAAACAGGGGAGGGGGCACGTACAAAAGGCTAACCCCTGATGGTTATTCTGCATTTCCCGTTGGACTATAAAACATGTGCATGTGTATGATAAAAAGCAGTATGATGGTTTATCCTGCATTGTCCAGACTAAAGGTACACTCCAGAGCACCTTCTATGGGCAGTATTTCAGGCATTCCATAGGTTCAAGGAAGATGTATAACATGTCCAATATAATATCTATTTTAGAATCAGCTATAGGACCCTTTGTGACAGACTTCACGTTCCTGGTATCCCAGATCACCGCAGACTGTGACAGCAGCCATGAAATTAAAAGACGCCTGCTCCTTGGGAGGAAAGCGATGGCGAACCTAAACAGCATGATAAAAAGTAGAGACATCCGGTCTGCCAAGATGGCGAGTTAACGCATTCCACGATTGTGTGGAGTGGTCGACAGCTTCTTCTGACAGTTTGGGCTGTTTCCAGCCCAACGCAACGCTCCCCAGAGAGGGGGGGTGTCAAGCAGGCAGCAGTGCCCAAGAGGGAGTGTAGATTGGCGTGGTCAAGCTTTTAAAGAAGCTTGTATCAGGCTTTGATCTCCTCCCGCGAAGAGGGCGAATGCCAAGCAACACTCCAGAAGCTGATCGAGTTGATGAATCAACATAAATTCGTCACCAGCAGATCTCTTGATGATGGGCAACAACAAGTGAGTGAAAGAAGCAATGCCAAACCCGATTTTGATCGTGCTAGATAACAAAAACCGTATCGCTTACCTGAACTGAGATATAGTCTAATTTTAACCAAGCGGATAAGCGTAGAACAATTTTAGAATCCCAGAAATCCGATTCCGGAGAAAAAGCGAGTTGATTGAAGCCGTTTAAAGTGAAAAATAGACTATAGTTGAACATTCCTGTGGTGAGAACTGAGATAAGCGCGTAACTTAAAGCTGAAACTGACGAACTGCATCGCGAGAGTAGAGGGTCGGGGGACCGGAAGATGTGTTCCGATCGATATAACAAACAGCGGAGATCCTAGACGGGCCATAAGTGGCAGGAAGTAGATCGGAACGGTAAGAAGACGGACCGGATGTGACCGTATGCGCATGACCGGCTGAAGAACTGAAACTGACCTACTCTACCCTCTAATACCATCGATAAGTCGCGCCCGACATTTTGTGGAGGACCAAAAGAAAATTGCTTTTTGAAGACGTACGGAGAGGCTCTGAAAGGCGAAAATAGCCGGAATCTGCCTGTTGGTGCTTAAGAACTTGAATAAGTCTATCCAGTTGAGAGACTGCAGACACCAACAGAGCAGCCAAAACGGAGACCAGACGCACCAGACCCAGAGCCGGCTCAGATCCTGCAATTGTACCAGTTGTTAGACAGAGGACAGGCTCCACATCAACTCCAAGAATGGCAACAAAAGCTGCTATGGAAGCAATGGAAAAAAGGATGATGGAGGCGATACAAGCAATGGGAACACAGCAAAAACAACTGGAGGAGAAAATAGTAAAAGAACTGGAGATGCAGATGGAAAAGCAAACGCAGATCCACTTGAAGCAGATGGAAGAAGCACAGGAAAAGAACATATTGGCAATAAAAGATTTGGTTACAACAGAATTAACTTCAATCAAACAAGAAATGGACGGAGTCAAAAAGGAAATTCAAGATACGGCAACCAAAGCTACAGAGATGGATGAGAAGATACAAGACATGGAAAAGAAACAGGATTCTTTGACACAACAACTTAAGAGATCAGAGACTATGACGGAGTTCAGACAAATGCAAACCCATTTAAGATTGAGAGGCATAGCGGAGAAAGAAAATGAGAACATAAGAGAAGAAATAATAAAAGCAATGACGCTATACCTAGGAGAAAGTGAGGGATCAATGGATACAGAATTTGATTTAATCTACAGAGTGAACTCCAGGATTGCAGAAAAGAAAAATTTACCAAGAGATGTGATTGTGCAATTTGTGACACGTACAACAACAGAAGATATTTTCAAGAAACAATTCACCGTTCCTTTTGAAATTGAAGGAAAGAAAGTAATGGTAATGAGAGAACTCCCGAGAACAATCTTACAAGACAGAAGAAGATACAAACCGCTGGCTGACAAATTGAAGTCAATAAACATCAGATACAGATGGGAAATTCCGCAAGGTTTATCCTTTACTTACAAAGGAGGGAGAATCATGATCAGGTCGGTGGATGACTATTATAGATTTAAGTCGGACAATTTAGACGACTTTGGAGAATTATAAATCAAGATCTACAATGGAGTACAAACTGTTGTCATGGAATGTAAATGGACTGAACTCACCAAACAAGAGAAAAAGAATCAATCATTGGATACAAAAACAGAAATGCAACGTGATATGCTTGCAAGAAACTCATATTAGAAAACGGGACGCAAAATATCTACAGAATAAAATTTTTGGAGAGGAATTTTACTCTTCAGCTTTAAATAAAAAAAAGGGAGTTGTAATTTATGTAAGGAGTGAACTACAACCGAGAGAAATCTTCAGAGATGGAGAAGGACGATATGTAGGTGTGGAACTTACATCACAACAGAAAAAAACTATGTTGATTAATTTGTATGCACCTAATGGGGCAAAAGAGAAATTTTTCAAAGACCTATCAGAACAACTACAAGTACAAACTTATGACCAAGTGATTTTTGCTGGAGATTTCAATGGAACAGTAGATCTTTTGGATAGAAAACCACAAAAGGGCAACGAATACAGTGGTAAATTGCCAAAGACTTTCTTTGAATTAATTAAACAAGAAAAACTGGAAGATGTATGGAGAAAATGGAACCCGGGTCAGAAAGACTTTACTTTTTATTCCAATAGACATTGTTCTTTTTCCAGAATTGATATGATTTGGATGTCAGAAGAGTTGTCAATGATGACGCATAAAATTGAGATTTTGCCAAGGTGTAATTCGGACCACAATCCTATATTGTGGATTTCTAGAGAGAAAAATAAACAATTTTTATGGAGGATAAATGAAGATTTGTTGGACATGAAGACTGTAACAGATCTACTAAAAGAGGAGACAAAACAATTCTTTCAACAAAATTTAGATAAAGAAACCCCTACTAAAAGAAGAGACTAAACAATTTTTCCAACAAAATCTAGGCAAAGAAACCCCAATACAGGTGGTATGGGAAGCGTATAAAGCAGTAATGAGAGGGATTCTCATTTCGCAAAATGTTAGGCAAAAAAAAGAGAAATTCAAAAAACAAGCGGAGGTGTTGGAAAAAATATCTCAAAAAGAGAAAGAACTTAAGAAGAAACCTGGAAAAAAGAAGATTATACGAGAGTTACAACTACTAAAAGAACAACTGAATGTAACTTTGAATCAAGAATTATATTGGAATTTAAAGAAATTACAGCAAAAATCGTTTGAAGGAGCGAATAAACCGGGGAAATATCTAGCCTGGCAATTAAAGAACAGGAGAGAAAACAGAATGATAACTAAAATAATTCAAGATGGAAAAGAATTCGTTGACCCTAAGGGGATAAAGAGAAGTTTCTTCAAGTACTATGCGAAACTATTTCAAGGGACTACAGCTGATCTTGAGAAGATTAAAAAATATTTAGAAGCAGTACCGCTGCCTAAAGTAAAAAATGAATTTAAGGAAATATTGAACAAACAAATTCAACAAGATGAAGTGAAGAAGGCAATAGAGGATGCGAAACTGGGGAATGCACCAGGACCGGACGGATTTACTGCAAAGTTTTATAAAAAAATGAAAGAAGAATTAGCTCCGGTCCTGGTGAACCTATCCAATGAAATAAGAGATACCAAGAAGTTGCCAGACTCATGGAAGGAAGCGACTATTTCACTGATACCAAAGGAAGGTCAAGATCTAACAAATGTAAAGAATTATAGACCGATTTCGTTGTTAAATAATGATTACAAAATCTTTGCAAAAATTATTGCTGAAAGGGTAAAAAGCTATTTACAATCTGTGATTACGGAAGATCAAGCGGGCTTTTTACCAAACAGACAGATTAGAGATAATCTAAGAATGGTAATGGATGCAATTGAATACTATGAAAAACACCCAGAAAGAGAAGTGGCATTTTTATTTGTGGATGCAGAAAAGGCGTTTGACAATCTTAACTGGAACTTTATGTTTCAAATGTTACAGAAAATAGAAACGGGACAACATTTTTGTAACTTGATTGAAGCGATCTACTCAGAACAAAGAGCAAAATTAAATGTAAACAAAGATCTGACAGAACACTTCAAGGTACAAAAAGGAACAAGGCAAGGCTGTCCCTTATCACCTTTACTATTTATCTGGGTATTGGAAGTATTATTACAAAAAATACAAGAAGACTCAGAAATTGAAGGTTTGACTCAGAAAGGCTTCAAATATAAATATAGAGCATTCGCAGATGATGTCATGTTTATAGTAGAAAATCCAAATGAGAAACTTCCATTACTGTTTAAAAAAATAAATGAATTTGGAGAATTGGCAGGGTTTTATGTGAATAAAAATAAAACAAAACTGTTATGTAAAAATATAACAAAACAGAAACAGACTGAGCTACAAGAGTTGGTACAATGTGAAGTGGTCAAGAAAACAAAATATTTAGGGATTGAGTTAACTGCGAAAAATGTGGATTTGTATAAGAATAATTATGAGAAATTATGGATTAAGTTAACTCAAGATTTTAAGAAATGGGAAACAATGAACTTATCGCTGATGGGACGAATTTCAGTGATTAAAATGAATGTCTTACCGCGACTGATGTTCCTGTTCCAAACAATTCCAATATTGAATAAAACTGATTTGCTGTCTAAATGGCAGCAAGAACTATCTAAATTTGTTTGGGCAGGAAAAAAACCAAGAATAAAAATGAAAATACTTTGTGACGCCA